ACCTACAACGTAGAGCTTCGTAGGTAGGTACATCAGATCAAGTCGGCATACCACATTACACACGGAGATCGCATTGTCGATTCAAACCACATAGTAGCAGAGGTAGTAGAAGTATTAGATGTAATCAAAAATATTATTGGTCGAAGATACCATTCAAGAAGTATATCCCAGAAGAATCGATTTAAAAAAAAATCATGAGTTCAGACGATTAGAATTTGCGAGGATACAAAGAATGAATACACCAGCGCCATTGCAAACGGTTTTGAGTCATTTCTTTCAAGCTCTGTAACCATCGGTTACTATAGTTCCGCGAACCCTAAAGAGGCAGTCTACGACTACTAATATGGCTCAGTTCATTAGTTAGGTACTTCAAAGATTTGCACCATGTTTTTGGTTTGGCTGCACCTAGCTTTATTCCAACCTACTCTTAAACCAGCCACCATCTCTTGCCAACGCAGTTGGTGGTTGGGCATTCGTAATACATGTCCCAACAACCTCAACTGATGAACATTCACTTCACTACTTCGACCACTGCTTTGCTATCTTACCTAGTACCCGTTTCCTAACACAAGCAATCTTACTCGGTGGTGCCAGGATAAACGAGTACTGATCTGGGGACACCAAAGATACAATATTAGTAAACTACGAATATATATTCTCACCTAAGAAGTAGGACTGAGCGAACAGTTGTGCAGTAGACTCGAACTTTGATTAGAAGATGGATATTTCGCCTACTCCGTAAGTGACGAAGGTTGTCAAAAGCCAACTGAACCTTCTTTATCCTTGCTGAGATTTCGTCAGTCACCAGGCTATCAGCACTGATGAGACTCTCAAGATAAGTGAAGCGGAAGACACACCCAACTACTTCATCCCCTATCAACCGGTTTGGGCGTCGTTGCAAGCCAATCTTGAAGCAAGATTTTGAATTTCGAGGGGGAGAATCGCATCCTGAATATGCTTGCATTGATGCTTAGAGTAGCGAGGAGACTGCACTTTGTCAGCGACTTCACCAAATAGAACTATGTCATCGGCACTTTCTACGTCAACAAGCGGGTCTCCTAGTAGAAGGTCCACCCCTGAAAAGTCAGACAAAGAAAGTATTATTTCCAAATGCCTATCAATAATTAAGTCAAATAAGAATGAAAACAATGGGCAGCCCCGACGAACACCACTTGAAGTAATCGGTCCTGACGACCTGCCGCAATGAGCTCTCACTCGACCAGTGGTGCACGAGTAGAAGAGCTAACGTACTTCTTTGGTACATCTCTCAATGACAAACACTGCCATAGTAACTCACGATCGGCGGTCAAATGCCGCCTTGGAGTCGAAGAAAACAACTGTTGTGGGACGCCGAAATGTGTCTAATAAAATGTCCATACATCCACGCCCAGGTCTCAACCGACCGTTTTCTTGAGTCTGCTCCTCCCAAGCCCTAGTTAGGCATTGAAGCTAATAATTTAGTTAAACTGATCCCTCTGTGATTGTCTCAAGAGGACTTATGTCCCTTCTTATAAACTAAGATAATGAGTGATTGAGACCAGTTATGTGGGATTACGCAATAGTCCCCTAATTGAACCTAGGATCTCACTGCTAAAACTAGACCAGCAGGACCTGCTGCTCACCCTAGCTTCAGATTTCCTATCGCTTTCTCAAGTTCATAGAGTCCGACGACTTACATTGATTTGACATCAAGGTTGACAGGAGATCGTTGGCAACCGAAGTGGCTGAGGGCAAGCTGAACTGATCCCTGAAATGTTCTGCCCATTGATCCAATCTCCTGAGTTGAGAATGAGTAAGAGACTCACTTTCCGCCGAGGTAATTTCACTCACTGGAGAATTCCTAGTACCGGTTTCATTGATAAGTAGGAACAACTGTCTATTGTTGCCTATTGCCACTACCTTTTCCATCGCTCTCTTTCGTTATCCACCACTGTTCGCGATCATTGCGTGGGCTTTCTACCAGCCTCCGATTAAGCTAACTTCTCCTCGACACTTTCAGAGCCTGGTGAGATGAGTTTACGAATATCTATCAGTTCGATGGATGCTACTGAGATCCACAGCTTCTTCTTAGCTTTATGGTTTACCTTACAAGAAGATATCTCCACAGCCTTTATGATGTTATTCCAAGCTGCCTTCAGATGGGAATCACTTACACGGCTGCCCAACTGTTTTTCTAGTTGCTCACGACATATATTCTTTGCTGAGCTATTATTAGGTAGAACCCAAACAGGTTTCCTTAAGTTGTATTACCTACGTCCAGAAAGCCGCACACAAACACGCGCTCACATTAGAGCATGATCTGAATATAAACAAGTGCTCCAGAATGAGCGGCAGTCTCCAATAGAGTCTCTTCACCGATGGCTGATAGGAATGTGGTCGAGTTGGGTCGGCTTTGGAGGTCGCCAAGTTGAGATGTTTTTCCTTATTCCCAAGGTCAATGTTTGCTAGAAACAGGCAGTTATCTGAGCACAGTTGCAGCAGACGGTCACCATTATCTGATCCTTGAGCATCGACACCCTGAGTATACCTACATAAGCATTGAAGTCACTTGCAACTCGTAAACCAAGTTGATCCCATATCTTGATAAAGTGAAGTCAAATTAATGATTTTACTAGGATTCTGTAGACGGAGACGCAGCATATGTTGATGACACGAGAACCAGACATCAGTAACTGATTGTCTGAGGGAAACGGATTACTGCCGTCAAAGACCTCTACAATCAGCAGTACGACTTCGACATTAGACCTTGAGTCATATCTTTCTCCAATCGAACTGCTCGGCATGTTAGGACCTATAGGAACATGTGTCCTAGCCAATACAGCTCGGCTGCGTCATTTCGATAGGAAATCCTAACCTTCACGTTAAAGTAGCAGCTACGGTCGTGATAATACACGATACAATGCCTCAAGATTTTCCGGAGTATACGCAAGTATGAACTATTGAACATGCTGCGTACTCAGTTTTCATTTTAATCACGAAACGACCAGAATTAGATCATCACTCGAAACCTGAAGACACTGCTTAAACATAACCTATTTTAAAGCAGCGTTAGAGGCATAAATGTGCAAGTTTTGGGGATCTTCGGTGTTATTAACTCTCCGAATGTCCCAACGACGTGCATTAACGTAACTGACGATAAATTATGGTTTACTGTGAAGAGAATCTATTGACAATAGTATTGCCTTATGGTACTACGGAGATTGTTGTTTTATATTGAAACCATGAATGAATCCTTGATAGACCAAAGGTTCTAGGTTCGTATTTTGCGATAAGCAGGAGTCGTGGATGTGCACTGCTAGTCAGTTTCGTACGAGGACGAATGGTGGTCTAACAAATATTCATTCATGATTTCAAAGCAAGACAGTATTGCCATTTTTAACTGACCATAATAATAACTGCATCATATAGCGGCATCAGTAGCAATACCTAAAGGATTCAGTACTAGAGTGTTTAATAACACCATTCCAAAACAGATGTAGATTTCATAGGTAAACGATAATTTCGGTTAAGTATCTATTCAGAAAAATGTGCAATGTATCGCAGTGGCAATGTTTTTCTTGCACTTTGTTTATGACTGTGTTAAGTTTGCAACTTCTGATCTAAGTCATTTGACTTTCTGCGCTTAAGAGTACAGTACAATGTGTGTAATATAACAATAATATGAGGACGTTTAATTACAGTAAGCTACAGATCAACTTGATGAGATTTATCACAACTGAAAAATAATTACAATGTTATCCCGATCCAGAAAACATGCAGCTCCTTGTACTGATCAGACTAACAGATAATCAACCTGTGGATGCCGTCTTAGTCTTTGTTGTAAAACAGGTATCATTCTAGTTGAAAATCTGCTAATGCTGCGAAACGGGGGTGAGGTTAAGTACGTAACAATCAATATTTCACAAAGACACGGCTTCGCTATTTTATGTGTTCAACACGAGAATGACTTTGAAAATATCTACAATTTAGTATCTTGAACCTATATTTATCCTTTGACTTAAATGTCCATGTTTCCATATATAAGTTGAGTGAACAGATAAGGTTGACCTGGAAGTTATTTTTAATTTTAAGATTATACTTTTGTTTTCAATTTAGCCTTAGAAAAAATATCTCTTGAAGAGAATCTATTGATACATTTGTCATTTTAACTGAAAAGTGACTATTATGTACTGAATAATATGTAGGTGAGCGAAAAATTAGAGCGGACTAGGTAGGACGTTATTTGAATGCAATATCAAGCATTACTTTTTAATCGAACATATTAAATGGCCATTTGCAAACTCGATCAATACAAGCATCGTTATACTTATTCGAAGCAATAATTATTATTTATTTCATCATAGTAATGTTTAGTACTTAGTTTTACGTAAATATACAACTGCTAAGAACACTAAGTAACTGTGTGTTGTCTCTCTACTTACGATCTAAGTTCATTGTATTGCATCCAACCTCTGAATTTATGTAATTTATTAACTGAAAGTAATCATACAAAGACTGAAACATATAACTTATGCAGACATTTCTCATATGAATCAATTTATTCTATAGGACAGATCATCTGAACAAAGTGAACCGAATACAATGACAAGCACATAGGCTTCATAATCAAACAACCTTTACTCAATTTTACAAGGTAAACTGACAGTCATCCATTAATTGGCAGTGAAAATGCAATTTTTATCAGACAATATGCAGTTTAAATTATGACTGCATTAATTTTTAAGCTAACAGCAAAATATCTTCAAAATTGGATCAAACAAGTAGCCGATGAAGAAACATTACTTTAAAAAGAATACACCTCTAGACATAGAAGATTCAGATACACAAATGTTGAACCCATTGATAAACAAAAGCGCTTAACTGAGTTATAAAATTTTATATGATTGGTGGATGCAGTAAAACAACCGGGCTTTATACAAATCCAAACAATTGGAGAATGGAGATAATCCATAATCGCGTAGTGGAACGTTAATGAAAATAATTTTCCTTAATAATAGTGATTACGTCGGATTCGTACTTGGCGTGGTCGAACCTAAACAACAAAAATATAAAAAAACGAGGCTTACCAGGTTTCTTAGCACTATCATTATTCTGCTGAGCACAAACAGGAATTCGACCACCATGATCCTGAACAATAGCCCCTAGAATTATGAAGTCACAAAGTAGATCATGATGAGGATAAAACTTACGAAAATATACATGTTCCATAGCTTCTCGGGCAGTTAGTCGTTCAGCGTGATCATAACGTAATAATTTATCTAGAAGGTCAAGTGACTCTGGGCTAACAAGATGTTGGTTCTCTGCATGTACAAAACGCTCCCATCGCTTTTTGGTATGTCGGCCTAAAATCTCATTAAATCGAGGATCCAAAACTATCTCGTATTTGGTCAAATACTGAAATAACTCTTCTGTACCAAGAACTTTGGCAATTCGAACTAGTTGATCGTAATTATCGTGACCATGGAAGAAAGGCTCTTTCCTGAAGATCATACTAGCAAAAACACACCCCAAAGACCAAAGATCTAAAGAATAATCATACATCTACAAATTCATATTTCAGTTACAGAAAGTTATAACTGACCTGGTAATCAACCAACAGCTCAGGTCCTTTAAAGTATCGTGATGCAACACGAACATTATATTCTTGCCCAGGGTGATAAAATTCTGCCAAACCCCAATCAATCAAACGTAACTAAGCTAAATAAAATATAGGTCAAAAATACCTTTCTTTGGGAATGATTAATCATAACATTATGCGGTTTGACATCGCGATGCATAATTCCCATGCTGTGACATGCATCAAGTGCACGTAGCAATTCGAACATGTAGTAGCGAATGTCGTAGTCCGTTAAGGTATGATACAATTCTTTGAAATCCCGATTTTCAACGTGCTCAAAAATGAGCGCGGGCGTACGAGACTGGAAGAATTAAATATTGGGAATAACGTTCTCCTTACAATAGGATCCTTGACTACTGCTTCCAGACATATTACATTTGTTACACCACGTAGATTTTCTAAGATCTTTATCTCACGCTTGATTTTCTTTTTTTTAACAGGCTTAATAAATACGGTAACTATGTATTGAGGTGACTTACTTTCAACACCTTAATGACACATTTCTCATTGTTTGTTATATTTAACCCTTCAAAAACCTCACTGTACTTGCCGCGGCCTAATTTTCGAACGATTTGGTAATCGTCCTGATCACTGAATATGAAGTATGTTAAATTACAATATTGTGGCGATCTACCCCCAATTTACTTCATAGGATTCATAATCCCAGTACTCACGAGGACGACTTAGATTTACATCTGCATACACTCGAGCCTTGCTCGATAAAGGCATGTCTGAAATATAAATTAACAGAATACTGATTTGTAGGAAATAAGTATATTTTATTATAAACTAAGAAAAGAGTATTATAATCAAAGCATATGAAACAGAAAACACTAATAGGAAGACTATTAAAGGATTATAACGATTGGTAGCCTATACACTTAATTTACAAAAAACTGCAGTACGTTAAATCGGTCGTCACATACGAAGTAAGAAGTCATTTGAATTTGTATGGATAGTAACTGATATACATTCACCATTAGATAGGAGATAATTATCAAGAATGTCGTTGAATCTGAAGAATAAGTGACATGGAATAATAATTTGGGTCATGTTAAAGTGAGTACAACTACGATAGATTTTAAACTACTGCACTTGTGTCCAACTTTAGATTACAATCATTTTGAGTACTTAAATCAAGTATTCTACTCCTCGACAATTAGCTCAAGTTCATATCACATTCAAACCAAGTCTTTCGGCTGCTTTAAGAGCATCTTAACCCAACATATGAAGTAGTGAAGTAATGAAGTAGCCGAGCGTGTTGAACGCTCCACTTATCTGGGGAGTCTCATCAGCGCTGATAGCCTGGTGACTGACGAAATCTCAGCTCGGATACAGAAAGCTCGATTGGCTTTGGCCAACCTACGTCACTTATGGCGTACGCGAGATATCCGTTCGCTAACCAAAGGACGAGTGTACTATGCAGCAGTTCGCTCTGTTCTCTTTTACGGATGCGAAAGATGGCCGTTAAGAGTAAAAGATGTTCGTAGGTTACTAGCATTCGATAATAGATGTTTAAGAAGCATTGCTCGTATACCTTGGGAAAACCGAGTAAGCAATGCTGTCGTTAGGAAACGGGTGCTAGGTTAGGATGGCAGATCAATAGATGAAGTATTGAATCTTCATCAGTTGAGGTGGTTGGGAAATGTGTTACGAATGCCTAACCACCGACTGCCTCGTCGAGCTTTGTTTTGTAGTGTAGGAGTAGGTTGGAAGAAAGTTAGGGGAGGCCAGACCAAAACATGGCAGAAATCCATGAAGTCACTGACTACTGGACTGAGTCATGTTGGTAGATGTAGACTACCTGGTTGGGGTCCGCGAGACGAAAGTAACTAATGGTTAGAGACCTTGAACGACATGGCTCAAAATCGTTTGCAATGGCGAAAGTGCATCCATTCGTTGTGCTCTCTCAAATCCTCATCTTCTGGAATCGTCAGCACCTCTACCTTTGTCTTTCTAACCTTATGTCGCTGAATAATATCTTCAAACCCTAGTCTTCTTCATAACCATTAATTCCTCTACTATCTCGATCATAATGGGATTTGATTTGACATTTGCGTCTGTGCTAATGTGGTATGGCAACATGAACTTACGTACATACGTGCGAAGTTCTACGTTGCAACTGACTGATAGATGACAAACGTTGGATTACAGATAGTTTTAATATGTAACATTTGACAGGTAGACTGTCGGTTACTACCTACACTGCCAACGTTGATGTTTGCGACTGAGCCATTGGATCTGATTGTGGGATTGCATACTACTAAAGTTCGCAAATCGAAGCTAGTTGTTATCTAGAAGGTCCTTTACCGAATGTTGGACCAGCAGATCTAACCTACAAAGCAGTGCATCAACGTTGGGATATGCAGCCCCCTAGTAGCCAGCAACGAACAATAAGTGCATACGATACCTATTTCTTACGGATATTGGAGCCTATGTGCTCCACTAGTTTGAAATGAAGGTTCTTCAACTCTTTTAGGTAGATGTTTTGCATTGATTAACTCCATTCACGCACCGAAGATGCGCTTTTTGCCATAAGAAGGCAGTAAGTAGAACTGCCTTGGTACTAGTTATATTTTCAAGTTCATATGAATATTCAGAGAGAGAACTCTTTCCACTCTTGGCCGTGCCAGGGTATTAGGTGGCTCTTAGAGAATTTTCGAATAGGCTTGCGTTTATCAGCCAGAACACAATTTAGTTAGTTGGTTACGCGCTTGAACTCCAACATACTTTGGTCAACTTCAGATAATAACATATTTGGCTATGTACCTTACGATTGTAAGTACACAATACAAAGGTGGCATTATAAAGTATATGGATACCTATGAACCACAACGCTTACGCCAACCAGAAGTGTTAGCAAAATCTTGAATAGATTATTTGTAAACTTTACTTTTACCCATTAAAACTACAGGAACTCGTGAAATCAGTCTAGCTAGTCTTGTGTTTTTGGAATTAGGATTTTCACTTTCCTTTCAGAAACATTTTCGGATTGCATGAAGCAATTTTCAAAAGCCCAACCACAGTGTTCATATTTAATTAAGCCAACCACAAAATCAGGACAGGCAACACAGGATAACTTATTCCCGGAAATCGGAAGTTAGATGGTTATATGGATGAGACGAAATCTAAAACCAACCTTATATATACAGTACTCGACTATTCAAAAACCAGACAAAATATCAAAAGCAGTGGCACAAATTCATGAGGTCACTGACGACTAAACAGAGCCATGTAGGTAGGTGTAGACTACCTGATTTAGGAAAATAGTAACCGATGGTTACATGGCTCAAAATCGACTGCAATGGCGTCTATTCCTTGTGTTTTAATCTGAATCCCTCATGAGCTTTACCTTTCTCTTCCCATCTTTACTTAACTGCATTAGACTCCTAAAACAACATCTTCAAACTCTTATCTTTCTGGTTATTGTTGATACTTCTACTACATCTACTACTAAAGGATTATAAATAAGAACTGGTGTACAAACGTACAAAGTATTACGACATTGCTGACTTTAAATGAAAGAATTCATCATGTAATCGAACAGTGGGTCCGGAAAGCGTTTGAAATGATTCTACAAGCTTGAAATTACCTGCAATAACTTTATTCAAAAAGAATGCAAAGTTATATAATAGTCCTAGATACTAAGTAGATATTTACTAACACTGCTACGCTTCAAGCCCAAATTGTTAATCTACTTGTACAATAATGAAGATTCGTAGGAAACAAAGAACGATCTCTACTGACGATAAATCATAAACTGGACACGGATTTATCGACTAGCACATAATTTGGACCAGAGAACTAGGAGTTTTACGACAAAAATCAACAACTGGATAATGGTTACAATTGACAACAACAGCAGTCTTTCAATACATGGTGTTTCATGACAAACAGATAAGTTATCAGTTTGCTTAGGGTGCATGTTACACAGCCTATGAGCACAAAGAATATCGTAAATGGAATGTCATGCAGTCTATGCCTAGAATACTTGGGAAAGCGAAGGTCCGTAAACTACCATGCAAAACAGCCGAAGACCCGACATACAATCGCACTGATTGCGTGGAAAGATCGCATCAACTAGAACTTGCAATTAGTAGCACTGTAACTCAGAGGCTATTTATTACAATAAATATTAGAAAAATTACAGGATGTAACAATCAGCAATACACGTAATCCACATCGGAAAATCGTCCATCCTATACAGGAACTACCGATGTTCGTACGACTATTTACAGAAAAAAAATAGAAGACATGTGCAGTTGAGCGAATTCGATTACATCTATGATAAACAATTTACAATATAGCTGAGAATACAAGCATTAAGAATGCAGGCTGTTTGTCGTGTCCGATTCGGTAAATATTGACTAGTATCATTACTAACATGGGCATAAACGAGTTGGCGGATGTATCACGGCACCTGCGTGCAGTGTCAATCTAACAAAAAATGTACAGGAGTACAGCCTAATTCTATAAATACATTTCTAAACATTGAGGCAAATCATAACACCTGAAAAAGCACTCCATTACATACCACAAAGTTGTCCGCCCCTCGGCACTAACCTTCGACGCAGGAACGAAAGCGCCAAATTGGATTTGGCGGTCAATGTGGTCATTAAAACAAACTGTCTGGCAGAGTCAAAGAAGAAATAGCAAAATAGTCTGTTATAGTGAATTTTACGTCAGGAAACAACAGACATTTGAAATTATTCTCGAATAACGATAATATTTCGAAGAATATCAACAAGCTTCGTAGAAGCGGTCATTTTGAGAAGTTATATTGTAACGCATTCGAAACCTAACTGTATCAACTCCCAGTTTCGTTTATCGGTTTGTGTTAGTCTCACGCTGGCTTTATATCTGGTTGCTGTCTATTTATTGCATGTGAGTGCATTCCATGTGCTTACTGAGTCATCGGCTCATCTTTTTCTCTTGTTCTTTCTTCTTCCAGATAATCTCATACGCTGCTCCTCACATCCTCCTAGCACACAAGGTACCTCCTGGCTAGGAGCAAACCAACCAAAGGCTGAAGTTACAATATACGGTAACCTGAACTACATGTTTCATTGAATTTTGAGTTGTCTAACCATCTCTTTTCTAACATATTTTCTAGCATTAAAAGGCAATACTTATTTAGTGATGAAATGAACAGACGTGCGTTTAACATATCCGGTCAGATCCTCTAGTCGGACTGGATGTATTAAAATGTAGAATTTTGTCATCATCATGCTCTACAAAAAAATCATGTTCTATATGGAAAGCTTTCTCATGTTTATGCGGAAGTTTCGTTTGCATGACAACGTCTTGAAGCGAAGTTATCTTTCAGTATATTTTCTCGATACAATTTCGTTCACAAGGTAAGCAGCATGCACACATGATGGATTTAGTAAGATGACTGAAGCCAGAACCAGTCGCTTAAAAATGAGAGAGATCCTAAACAGCTGCCCTTTTGACTTCAGATTACACTGAATTTTCGAGCATGTTTATTTTCATGCTTTTTGGTACAACATTGAAACTTTCGACACAGTTCCGCTTTGCTGTGCGTTTCACTCCGGTACTGGTTACAGTAATTACAGAACCGTGATTCTGAGGCCGACGAAGTCGCATCAAGAATAGATCGTAATCCAGAGACTGAAAAGAAGTTTAATTTATCTGTTTCTTTGTTTCTGTCACTGGAAAGTTAGTTGACGACTAGCTATTACAATACAAAGACGTAAAACAATTCAATCAGTCAGTCAGTCAGTTACAACGTAGGACTTCGCACGTAAAAACATCAGTCCGGGTTGCCATACCACATTATCACGGAGACACAACTGTCAGTTCAAATACCATAGTAGTGGAGATAGTAGAAGCATTATTGGTAACGGAGAAGAGTAAGGAGTGAACATATGATTCGAGAAGTATGATTCAGTGAGATAAATTTCGAAAGAGGAAGATAGAGGTGAATAGGAATTCAGAAGATTAGAATTTCATAAAACGCAACGAGTGAATGCATCTGCACGATTGCAAACTATTTTGAGCCATGTCGTTCAAGGTCTCGCCAATCTCAACCAGGTAGTCTGCATCTGTTACATGGTTCAGTCCACTTGTCAGTGACTTCACAGACATGCGCCGTGTTTTAGTTTGGCCACCCCTAACTTTCTTCCAACCTACTGCTACAACACGAAACATAGCTCGTCGAGGTAGTCGAAGGTTGAGCATTCGCAAAACTTATCCTCATCACCACAACTGATGAAGCTTCAATAATTTTCAGTGTTTAAACTTTGATAAAGAGGACACGATTGCCTAAAAAGAAACATTTATTATCATAACCAGTTGTGCCACTGACTGTCCAACTGTACTTTTTGTTTATTACACTCTGTACGCGCAAACTTCCTGTTTGTGTTGCTGCCATTTCGGCTTCACTGTCTCTGAAATTTCGCTCATCTTTACTGGCACTGTTTCTGTATGATTTCGATACCTCTAAATCTCCAGCTAATATATTCTTAAACATGGATTTACTTATTTTTTTTGACGGTCCCGTAGTGTGTATATAGTGATGGTCATAGTCGATCTCGACTTCATCGACATTTAAACATCATCTATTGATCTGCTAACCCTACCCAGTACTCGTACCCTAACGAGAACATTGCTTCGAAAACATCCATGATCAAATACGAGAAACCTACGAATATCTTCTACTTTGACCGTACATGTTTCACATCCATAGAGTAGAACATAGAGAACTACTGCGCAGTACACTCGAACAACTGTCTACTGTTGCCTATTGCCACTACCTTTTCCATCGCTCTCGCTTTCGGTATCCACCACTGTTCGCGATCATTGCGTGGGCTTTCTACTAGCCTCCGCTTAAGATGACTTCACTCCTCATCACGTTCAGAGCCTGGTGAGATGCGTTTACGAGCGTCTATCAGTTCGTAAGGATGCTACTGAGATCCACAGCTTCTTCCTAGCTTTATGGTTTACCTTACAAGAAGATATCACTGCTCTCTCCACAGCCTTTATGATGTCATTCCAAGCTGCCTTCAGATGGGAATCACTTACACGGCTGCCAAACTGTTTTTCTAGTTGCTCACGACGTATATTCTTTGCTGAGCTATTATTAGGTAGAACCCAAACAGGTTTCCTTAAGGTGTATCACCTACGTCCAGAAAGCCGCACACAAACACGCGCTCACATTAGAGCATGATCTGAATCTAAACAAGTGCTCCAGAATGAGCGGCAGTCTCCAATAGAGTCTCTTCACCGATGGCTGATAGCAATGTGGTCGAGTTGGGTCGGCTTTGGAGGTCGCCAAGTTGTGAGTCCTTACTGTCTCGTTTAGTCGGACAGCGCATAAGCGACTGACTAGCAGGATCCAGTTCTGCCCTAGGAATTAATACTATACCTACACCAGCAGTGCCACGGCAAGCAGCATCAGGGAGTCAAGATACAAGTAGCGTAAACCGAGTTGATCCCATATCTTGATAAAGTGAAGTCAAATTAATGATTTTACTAGGATTCTGTAGACGAAGACGCAGCATATGTTGATGGCACGAGAACCAGACATCAGTAACTGATTGTCTGAGGGAAACGGATTACTGTCGTCAAAGACCTCTACAATCAGCAGTACGACTTCGACACTAGACCTTGAGTCATATCTTTCTCCAATCGAACTGCTTGGTATGTTATGACCTATAGGAACATGTGTCCTAGCCAATACAGCTCCATTGTGTCACCACGATTTAAAAGCACGATCAACATGACAAGGTAGCAGATATGGTCTGGCACAAAATTCAGTATGCACGACAGTTCCAGAAACAATCAATTGGAGGGGATACTCTCGACAAGCACTAGCCCTTTTCAATATTAGTCAAAAACAAAGTTGAATTAGTGACCAAGTAGCTCGTCGCGCTCGGTTAGCGTGTCGTTATTTATTGACTAGTCACTTAGTACGCCGTAACAATCGACAGTTCAAATTGCACCTTTTGAACCTATCACTACAGAGGATGTCACATCATTAAACAAGGGTATTTCTGGTAAATCGTAGTGCAGCATAGTGATGGAAAAGGCAGCGGCGATAGACGACAGTTGTTCCGACTTATCAAGGAAACCGGTATTAGAAATCCATTTGTTGGCAAAATAATCTCGGAAACGGATGGTATTTTATTCATTCTCAAACTAGAAGATTGGATCGATGGGCAGAACACTTCAGTTGCCCACGATATCCAGTCATCCTGAATGGCAAATCTCTGTAAGTCCTCCGAGTATTTATGAAATTGAGAAAGCGATAGGAAATCTGAAGCGAGGGAGACCAGCAGGTCATGATAGATTGACCCTTGATATTTTTAAGGACGGTGGTCCAGTTTTAACAGCTAGATTGACTGAGACCTTATGTAGAATCTGGCAACTGGACGCAGTCCCAACTGAATGGTATCAACCACTGATTTTTCCAGTCTATAAGAAATGGCAAAAGTCCTCTCGTGACAATCACAGAGGAATAAGTCTAACTAATATAGTATCTAAAATATTGGCCTCAGTAATACTTCGACGCTTAACGAAAGCTCGTGAAGAGCAGACTAGAGAAAACCAGGCTGGTTTTCGACCTGGACGTGGCTGTACAGACCACATTTTCACACTACGACAGGTCCTGAAACACAGACACACATTTAGGCGTCCTACAATAGTTGTTTTCCTGGACCTTAAGGCAGCATTTGACTCTGTGAATCGTGAGGTTCTGTGGCAGTGTCTGTCATTGAAAGGTGTATGAAAGAAGTACATTAACCTCATACAAGCTCTCTCCGACTGTAAGCGAGACTATTTCCGGAAAAAATAGACTGAGACCTTAAGGAGAATCTGGGAGCTGGACACAATCCCATCTGACTGCTCTCAACCACCGAGTGTCCCAGTCTAAAAAAGGATGAAAGTCGTCTTGTGACAATTACAGAGGATTTAGTCTAACTAATATAGTTTCTAAATTGTTAGCTTCAATTATTCTTAGACGCCTAACTAAAGCTAGTGAAGCACAGACTAGAGCAGACGAAAGTCACCGATGGTTAGAGACCTTGAACGACATGGCTAAGAATCGTTCGGAATGGCTCAAGTGCATCCATTCTTTATGTTCTTTAAAGTCCTAACCTTCTGAACTCCGCATCGCCCTGTCTTTCCTTTTTAATTTTGTTTCACTGAATTATAGTTCTTGAATAATATCCTCGAACCCTAATCTCTCCGACTACTGCTAATACTTGTACTATCTCTACAACTATGGGATCTGAAATGACAATTGTGTCTCTGTGCTGATGTGGTATGGCAAACTGAACTGATGTACTTACGTACGAAGTCCTGCATTGTAACTGACTAACTGACTGAGATATTGAAATAGCACCTGAACTAGTCATCTATAAGCCACAATTTACATTCTGCGTCATAATAAATAATCAGGCAGAACAAACATAATTTGATGGTGGAAAACTTTACTGGTTTAAAATATGTATTTTTTTTATAAGATTTGATGGACTATCAGGCTTCAAAAACACAGCTTCTCGTGTACACAGATCCAACTGAGCCAGAGCTGATTCAATTTGTTCTTGTACAGATGGGTCCTTTTCAATAATTCGGCGCGTTGACAATAACCTATTAAGATCACGAAGCAAATCAGCTGGAATCCATGAAGGTAAACCGCTAATACTTGTTTCTGATAGGAATAAGGAACGTGCTAAATATGCCGAAGCTTTACGAACCAAATTTGATACATCTCGCGATAGATGAAATTCAATTAACGAGAAAACCTGTGCGTATAAAAAACAGAAGTACTAAAAAGACAAAACTGAGAGGAACATCAAAAAGTGATTGCTATTTCCTAGCTCAGTTAAAATTATAAGTTACAAATGCAGTGCCAATCAGTAATTATAGCTACAGACTTTGTTTCACATAACGTTACATCGAAGTAATAGAAAAAATGAATCAGCAAAAGCCATGCCGAAATATTCCTAGTAAACTACTAGGTTGTTATAAGGTTCATGTCAGAGAAAAATGAAACATGTTTCCAGTTAGTACATATGGATTTTCAACCAGAGAGATAAGATGTCTATGCGCTACTCTGCATGGTTATCTGAAAGAGAATTCAAACAGATCAACAATCTAATTCCTGAGCACAAGATTAACTCTGGTTGTATGCCACCACGAGACTATTAGTTCAAGATCGTATGCAAAGCTAAATGATTAAGAGGATTAGGTGAAAAATTCTCGAACAGCTAAAGCCATAGCAATTCATCATTTCGAACCCAAACTCTGTACAAAAATGATTCATAATCAACAGTTTATCCCTCAATGGTCCTAGTACTTTACCTGATTTAAAAAAAAATTAAACGTGCCAATTTCTATCTTATTCCTAAACTTTATAAAATAGGTAGTTATCTCTTCCGTTTGTATAAATTGTTGTTTTTAATGCCTGTAAGATTACTAGACAACCTCATTTCTTGATAATTTTTAATCCCTTCTCTTAAGGATCTGACGCTAATTTCATCTAATATTTGAAATCCCTCGAAAATCTTTAACTACTTTACGAATTGTGGTAATATTTCATTCTCATAGACTTTTATATTTGATCCCTGAATACGTTTGGCTGTCTTTAATAATTTCGTTCGATGGCGTAACACTGCTTTATTTCATTAAAGACTAATACAAGTAAAAAACTACTTGAAAACACGATTGCACAGCTGAAGAAAATGATATCGCCAAAAATAAAATCATAACTAAAATATCTTTTTTCAGTGAATCAGTGGCATTCAGTGATAATGCCAAAAACTATTAACTTAAAATATTAAAACAATTGTAAAATATTTCAAGTGCGATGTAACAACATTCATTCGTGTTCTTTTAGGTTGTTCAAATAACATCTAAAAGTGTCAAACTCAATGAATACGATCCGTGATAAAGCGTTAAGCGCTGTCATCAAGTTGAGCGTTTTAATGAGATTTTCCACTATACGTCCTAATTAGGATACTCAGTTAAGGTCCAATTACAGGAAATTTATTATATGGCTAGTAGTATCATAATTATTGCGAAACCTGAGAATTTTGAATTTACATAATTTCTGAGGGTGCGAACCAGGTGTACATATATTTTTAGGTGATTGAAATGCTATTAAGTTGATGATGACGATCTACTACTTTAATGAGCGATGAACTGTTTTAGAATAAACAAAAGATAACATTTTATGGGTAGGGTGAGAAAAATAATGAGGATGTCTTAGATGAAATAATATTTATGGAGTATATGTTGGTTGTTCGCATAATAACTTATGATTACATTAGACAATAAATGTAGTTAAAATATAAGAAGCGAAGTCAAAATTTTAAGAGGACTGTACTACCAAGATACTACTTATTCATGAACGTATAAAAATGTTTTCTATATGAAAGGAGCGATATTTTCAGAACTTTCGCTTAAATACTCATCTATATTTAGTTAAAATCTTTATCTTTCAATGCAAAAAATAATTTATGAAGTTACCTATACTGCTCTCGTTTCACCTAATTCAATGTTTTCACAATTATATAAATTAACCATCTATTGTCTAGGGTAACTTTACATTGGTTTCTAGGAGGACTAAGGAGACTGCTCACGTGTTAGCATTTCGACATGAACAGTTCGGCTCAATACCGCGGTGCAACCATACATGTACCTAATACCCTGTTGGACCAGTTTCACCTAATACAGGTAAAATAATATCATGCAACTAAATATGTTGTGCTTTAGAGTCAATCAAATCATTGACTTGTTAGCGAAACAATTTGATTGATGATGAACTAATTATTGGAGATTTTACGATGGAAACCACTCACCTCATAAACGATCGGTTGGATAGCATACTTCAACAACCGGACAAGTTCTGCAATATTTGAAAGACAAGCTGCTCGTATTAACTCTTCAGGTGCTTTGCATCCCAGGACAAATGAGTTAAATACCTCTGTTCGATACTTTGGCGCTATTTCACCTTAAAATATCAATACATGTAATCAGATTAGCTATTTTTTGAAAATATAACAGGAAAGATATTGAATATAATAATGCTGAATTTCAGGTAACTAAACTAGTCTTTAGATTGCACTAACAAAAAAGAAGGGATGAAAGGCAAAAATATAAAAACAGTGCAGTGTGACACTTAAATAAAGCACGGATATATATAAACACAGTTAAATTAATTGGGAGAAAAATATCCCAGATCCCTCATGATGAATGCCTTAATTTTGGATTTCATGTTTGCGAGCATGGGCCGATCAGTTGACCTTGAGAATTCATTTCCCACCAGGAAAATCCTTGGCTGTGATTGATTACTGTATATTATTTTAGTGAGCTATTTTCGTGAGTGTCCCAAGGACGTTTCTATGATGTATAAATAAACGAGATTTGTGTGCTTGAATGCATTGTGTTGGCTGGGTGTTGGTAGAATATACTTTCTACGCTATATCAAGACTTCTGTTTTGCACTTTGGGGTCAAGGTAGCCTACCTAAACGCTGGTTCATTGTCTCGTTCGCGTTTATCGACTAAGGTGAACCCATAACAGTTTCAAGCATACTTAGTGACAAACCTAACAAAAAGCAATCAGCCTATGATTTGTAATGATTTAATTTGCAAAAATAAAAACAAAAATGTACCTAGATTTGATAACACACGCATTATGGATTCGGCTAATTTCAAGTTATATTCAATATCATAATCGCCAGTAGTATTAATGACAGTGGTACCAATGGAATTGGCTGGTTCTTTAGTAGTTTGAATGCTCTTGGAGAATTGATTTAACAGTAAATTTAAAACTTCATCCGTTAACATGCATCCCATAGCTGATAGACACCGAATCGCATTCAAATAGATATAACTATCTGTATGTGCTAAATGCTTAGCTAAAACCTAGATATACAAAATATTTAAAAAAAAAAGCGATAGAAATATAGAAATAACAGAAAACAAAAAATAAAATGCATGAATTATACGTTTAGTAACACTTTTTGTAGTAGTCAAAATGTACTCTGTATCATTTGGTTAGTCATACAAATTGGAATAATTTATAGGGTTATAATTATTAGCAGTATATATTAAAGTGTTAAAAAGCACAAGTAACTAAGTTATTTAATTACCGATTCTAGCATATGATAAACCGAAGATGATATATTTTCAGTTGTGGGTGTGTAAGTATATCACAACAACAAAAAAATTTTACGATCAAGACTCAATGGTTAAAGACACTCGATTTTCAACTAATAGATCGGAATACTGTCCTATTTGATTAGAATTTGATACTTGAGTAGTGAATGCACTTTCATCTGATGATCTGAGAAAGGTTGGACTTTGAGAACTATTCTGAGAATTTTTGTTAATATTTTTAATGTATAATTATTCAACGCTCGGATCATGGTGTTTCACCTTTTCCTACACTAATCTTTCATTTTACTGTTTCAGATATTTGCTTTTTCGTCTTATTCATGACTGCGACGAGTATACATTTTAGTTTCTATTTTTTATTGCTGTGTAGTCAGCTATTTGAAGTATATTGTTGTATGAGTTTTGATTCATGTACGAATAAGTGTTAAGATTTCCCTGTGATTATGCACGGTCACTTAGACATTGGTTAAAAGAAGTTCGTTGTGTTATTGGACAAAGAGGTTCCTAGTCTTCAAGGAAATACAGGTTATTAAATCAATAATTTGACTACATAATACAACTGCTTGATAACACAAGTCCTGTTATAATCCAAAAAATCAGCTCTTTTTGAGCATAAAACAAGTACCATCAGCCTCCACAAAAATTATGTGGTACTGAGTTGGTCACATAAGTTTGTAGTTGGTATATGAAGATCAATTTAAAATAACTGTAGAACAAATGCTCGACACAAAATAATAGACAGGATTTGTCGATTGAGTTCATTAGATAATGTGATAATACAATGACGAAAGGTAAAACAAATTATTTTTTCATATGAAGTGATAATTTTCTTCAGAAATTAAACCGCTTTCATTTTAAAAGACTGTATCACCTAATTGCTCTTATTTAACCTCAGTTACATCAATGGATAAAGATAAATTTTAAAAAAAGCTCACTTTGAATATCAGTTGTTCATTGCCTAAAATACATGGATCCTTGGATTCCAATAATCGACCAAGCATAATTAATGCATGACCTTGCACAGGAATTAAAGGATCATGTAACTCTTCGAAAATCGTTTTCAAAGTTGGATCATTTAGCTGACTGCAAGCAGATTGCTGCACATCTTGGGGGCATGAGGCAGTAAGTTCTTCGACAATCTTCCGGGGATATTTTGACGGATGGGTTTCAGTTTCTACTTCGTCAGAATTACACCTAAGGTGCATGAAGAAATTCAAATTAACTACATTTTTAAAAAAATTTTAATTTTGTAAAGACAGCACATACAGACTGTGATCAATCTGAACAAAACATTAAATTTACCAACAGTCCTTCGTCGAAGATGACAAAAACAAGATAACTCTCAAAGTGACGAAGTAAATAAGAGTGTTTAGTTGCTTTTTTTCAAGACACACTGGTAAGTGCATACAGGGCAACAGATTTAATGAGTAAGTAAAGCGTTTCAGTTTAACTACCTTCGACTCTATCTAAAATTGCCTACATGTGTCATGCCCGCTCCATGATCTTAGAAGCTAAAAACTACTATTCAGAACCCATACATGCATTACAATAAGAGAAGCTCATACAAGTCAAACAACACTGGGCTATTTTTCACTAAAATTTGATATTAAACAGAAATTATCTTCATATAGGTATATTTGTTCATACTGAAAGAAATCAAAGTTTAATAAAGTTAGTCAATACTATATAATAGGAATTCATTCAATTGAAATTCCGTATGAAAATGAAGCATCTGCAAAAGTAAAACTTATCACGACCGTTTTGTCCTAGTATAGGACTCATCAGCAGTGCGCATCCACGACCCCCACTCACGGGAATCAAATCCAAAACCTGCAGTTTCGCCTGCGAACGCTTAACTTTTAGACAAGTGAGCAGGCACCTAACAGTGTTAATGTCTAACTTTGATCAATTCAACGTATTGCACAACTTCACCCATTGCCTTTGTGTTAGGAATGTTAGATCCTCAGAACTCATTTGGTAAACGTCCTCATTTTTAAATTTTATCTTCAGATTTTGAATTTCATGCTTTTGCGTCAAGGACGCTCAGTTTGACCTTCAGCTTACATTTCCCGCTCGGGAAATCGTTGACTGTCATTGGTTGGTGAATTATTTTAGTACGCTATTTTGTGGCTCTCACTAACGGCATTTTATAATTGTATAAATAAGCTTGAGTTGTGCACTTGTGGACCTCGTACTTTCTGGTTGCCTGTAGAATACATACTCTACATCTGATCAAGACCTCTTCTGCTAGTTAGTGGGGTCTGAGACGATCGGATTAGAGTAGCCAATAATGTCGCTGAATCATTGATTTTCGTTTCTGTTACTGAGTAAGGCGAACTCGACAACTGATTGATTCAATATAACAATTATTTACTGAGACATTTGAGTAAATTTGGTGAAAATTCAATTAGTAAATATTTTATTATGATATTCTGTTGTATTCTGATAATTACTTCACCTTAGTTTTGATATTTTTATAATAAAATTTATTAAGGTCACAATTATCTGAATATAATTATAAATTACCGAGAAGGGAATCTGTATATAAATCGCTATTTTTCCCAAAAAGATAAATTCTTCTCAGTCTACGCTTTGTTGTCCTAGCAGTTGAGGGTTGGGTCAACAGTATGAAAACTGTGGTCGTTTATCATTGCTGAATATCTTCAATCAGGTAGTAATATCCCGGTTATAACAATAACATCAAATTCCTATTTGATAAGTCAGAACTTCGTACGCACGTAAATCAGTTCAGGTTGCCATACCATATTAGCACAGACATGCGATTGTCACTTAAATCCCATAGTAGTAGAGGTAATAGAAGTATTAGCAGTAATCGGAGAGATTACGGTTCGACGACATGATTCAAGAAGTAGTTATTGATAAACGATAAAACACTCTACTACAACAAAATCCATATTTTACAAATATTTTATTCAAATAACGATTAAACTTTATCATCTCTAAAACAACATTCGAATGAGGTAATTTTAATTAGAGCAAAACAATTAGGATTTCATCACTATCACTGGAAAATGAGACAGAAGTGAACACATGAACACAACTGTGAAATTACTTCATGAAAATGAAATTTGAACAGAACGTTTACCAATTTGATTTCAAATAGATTATTAAGAATAATTTTATTAGAATAGTGAAACTCACCCGGTCGAATACAAATTATTCAAAGAAGAATCATGACAAGGAATAGCTCCACGTGTGGCTAATGTAACTTTAATACATCGTAAAAGATTTAAAGTTGGATCACTCATTGAGTGTGACATAGAATCGATAACATGTTCCAAGTTACTTAAAATTGGCAATAAAGAATTGAATTCATTTCGAGCATTTATTTTTTCACTATCTCCAGGGGACTATTTTTAAATTGAATTTACAAGATATAAAAAAAATTTTCAATTCCATTAACAAATTAAAATATTCGGCTAATGAACATTCAACAATATAAATATCTTTCGTAGAAAAAGTGTGGTCGGTAGAATATCGACATCATATCAATAATCCTTCGAATACTTATCATAATAATTAGTTAAATTTACTACACAATTCTTGAATTCCTAAGTGCAACACATAAATAATGAGTAATTTATAAGCACAATAATGGCCTCATTAGTTATGTTTAACAACGATATTTAATTCAATTGAGATTTATAAGGATATTCAAATGAAACTATGATTGTAGTGTAAGAAATCAATGCCCAACCAATGGATGGTAGTTTTGACATAAATCCATGAGCATAATAGTATTAGAACAAATAATATAAGCAAACAATATTGTTTTCAATTAGATTGTTGTGATGATCTACCCTAATGTACATGAATATTTACTTTAGAGTTCAGAACAAAGATTTGTACGTTATCACTAGACTTCACACACTATGATTCAATATCAAGTGTACAGATCTATATCCAGTGAAATGAGTCGCAATGTGTAAGGATACTTGAAATGAAACTGACTGACACATTGTGCTAATCGTAAGTTGCCCAGATGATCAGTGAACGTGAGTGACCAAGTAACGGCTTTTATTTCTAAGGAGTGAGGCGTAGATAATTGGTATTTCAATTTACAAAGGAACACATATATATTCTTTCGACTACTCCAGCTTCTCATTTGTTGTTGTTTTGATTCACTTCGACACGTATGCTTCTTTACACAGGAAACTGCGACTATGTTCGTCCTTAGTTCTGTTCATTCATCTGAATGGGGCAGCATGCTGTCGAAGACAGTTTGAACTTTTCTCCCGAAAACGCACTCTGCTGGGGACCTTTCCTTTTGGTATAGCAGGATTGGAGTTAGCTCGATACGAGTAACGCTGCCAAAAGTATTGTGAGAATTCTCCCTGACAACGAAACCTTAACCACTGAGTGAATAGGTACACCTTTACTTCCCATTATATCTTATAGTTCTTGGTAGCTACTTTGGTAGCTGAGACTGTAACTGGAAGACCGTTGATTGTGTCATCTAAAACTTCAGTGCTGGTTTCAGTTATTGCCACCAGGATGTCTTCTTCAGGATTATTTTGAGAACCAATCAATCTAGACAAGGCGTCTGCTTGTCCAGAGTCTGTGGTGGGTTGGGTAGTTACCCATTATTGTAGTCTATTTGCTGTGCAAACAGGAATACTTTTCTTCGACCCAAATACAGCTAATAATGGTTTGTGAACAGTCAAGGGGGGTGAATTAGCGTCCAAATATCAATTTTGTGGCACGTCTTCACTACGAAACTAATTGATATTGCTTTTTTCGCAATTTGATTATAGTAGCGTTCTGTTGTTGTAAGAGATCTAGCTGCATTGGAGATTGCTTTTTTAGATCCATCAGAAACTATGTGAGAAATAGCCTCACTAACACTATGATTTGAAGCATCTGAAGCAACCAAAATGAGTAAGAAGGAACGATATTACGTAAGCTAGAGGCGGAAGGCTAGGAGTTGCTTGATTTTATGGAGGGCTACTTGAAATTCTGTGGACCAATTTCATTCGGCGTTCTTTACTGATAGGTTGTTTATTGGAGCTCATAGGATATGTAGCTCAAGAAGCAAAGTTCCATAATGCATAACCAGTCCCAGGAAAGGTCGCAGAGTAAGAATGTCCGTTGGCCTAGACATGGTTTTAACAACTTCAATGTTTTCTGGGTCTGGTCATCTTCCGTCTTTATTGATAATGCAACCGATATATCGTACCTGCTGTATACAAAAATCACGTCCTCTGTGCGTAGACCAAAACCATATTCAGCTGTTTGTTAGTACCACGTCAAGTTTCTACTTTTATCTTTTCCAATGATTATATCATCCAGACATGTTGCTCATCCTGAAATATAACATGGTATCCATAATTTGTTGGAATACGGAGGGTGCTGAGTTGTGGCTGGATGGAAACTCTTTGGCTTCAATAAGCCATCCAAACAGTCAACTTAAATCTTTTTATTTGCGAATCCTGTTGTTTTCGTGTATACGCTGAATAATTATTTCTACAAGCTGGGTGGAAAAGAAGTATTGTATAAACTGCTCGAAATCGCAGAACCGATGAGTATATTATAGACGTAATACGCAAATAAAATGTAATGAGCAGAAATACTTACCCCAAGTTTATTGGTGTAAAAGGCTAATATTCCTAACAACTGATTTAACATTTGATATAAAAACTCCACATGATCATGATTTTCAGTATGTTGAAGTAAACAACTGAAATGATGGAACAATGCCTAAAATATGTCAACACAAAGCAAAATAGAAAAATTTTAGAGACTTTCACATTAGATAATAAGAATATAATTTCCATATCAGTAAACTTATTTTAACACAATATAGCTTTTGTATAATACAAAAGAATCATTACTGCCGATCGATAACATAAATGAGAAACGAATCAAATCACATTTCATATATCTCTCTTTTATTCATAATTAATGAAATGAGAGTAAATTTTAAAAAACATATTGAAACAATGGAAGTTTTAATACGAGAAATACTTGGTACTAACTGAATGGTACTGTGCATACCACGAAATTTGAACGATTTGTCCTTGGAACCATATAAAGTAAAAGTGAGTGAAGAAAGCTGGATGACTCAAAAACTAGTAATTGGTCAGTGTTCCATGATGTTCACTTGTTTTTTTAAAATAATGTCAGTCTACGATAAAAATTATCTGATACAAATAACTCAACAAAAATAATCCTAAAATGAACTAAACTAAAAAAAACAGGAATGAAAGTAAATACAGCATCCGCGTACGTTTTTTCGTTAGACCTATTGTCAAGATTGATTCTTTGAATCAAATCAACGACACTAGACTTGTAGTTACTGATGAGTAAATTTTTCTTCCATAATGTGCAATAAAAAGTTAATTAGTTTCAGTTTTTATATAATTTATCACTTAGTAAAATGTTTAAAACTAAGCTAAATAAAATAAAACCTGATAAATATTTAACACATCAAACAAAAGAAGAATGCTCATATAATTTCTCTTAATACACTCTGAACTAATATCGTCAAAGCTTTTTTTTCTTAACTAAAAGCAAAGATAATACTAAACACTTAAAATTACCTCAAACAGATTACAAGCTTGATTCACATCTTGAGGCCAAATTAAATCATCTAAACTTTCAATCATAGCAGATGAAATTAAAGAAGAAACAGTCCCAAGTTCAATGACATCTTTTTCATCCTCTAGTATAGTAAATTTATTCATTGATTTAGAAATATCTTGGAAAGTGGAATGCATATCCTAAAACATAAAGTTAGGTAATGAATTCAACAATGTTAAGAACAGTTAATGAAATACGGTTTACCTCACCCCTTAATGGGAAATTTCAACTGAACATGAAGTGACCGGTTTTATGAGGTTGGAATAAATCATATTAAGCTACAAAGACTACTAATATGCAGCCAGATCCAATAAGATTAACATTAGTAAATAAGAATTTCAATAGAGGTTTAAGTACTAGATTATTAATGTCTCACATGTTGGCAACGAACGACACGGCTTCAAATCTTATAAATCGATTGTTGTGATTCTTAATCCGGTTACATATAAACCACTATGTGCAGTTTTAATAGGTACATGGTCTAGATATTAGTACTCCCTTGGTATCGTTTATAAGAATTGTGTTCCCAATCAACGTAGCTTTCACACAATCCTATGCAACCCTGCAGAAAAAAATAATATATCGGTCATTGCTAGTGAATTGTTAGGTACAGATCATGATATTAAGTAGTGATCATTGAAATAATGGAGAAGCTTACACTGATGGTGCCCAGAAGAACAATTGAAACTTCACAGTTAAACCTTATGAGCTTAGACAACGCGATTTCAAAAAAGTAACCATTGGGGAATATAACTAAGTATATATCTAGTGATACTTTGCTCTTTATAATGAGTGCGATACATGTAATTGCTCCAAATGAAGGCAAAAACTAAGCTGAAACTACACTTTCTTTAACTGTAGCTAACTACATGCTAGTGTTTGTTGCCGCTATATTACGTGTCATTCATACAATCTATTATATGATACTGATAGAATCCCGACCGTAGCTGCTACCTTGACGCGGTGGTTGGGCTTGCCTATCGTGATGACCCAAACAAGCTTTATTGGCTGGAACATGTGTTCCTGTAGGTCCCACCATGTCAGGCAGATCGATTGGAGAACGGTGAGACCAAAAGCACAAACTCAAGGTCTGATGGCGAAATCGTACTGCTGACTGTAGAGCGGTGTGACAGCAGTAAGGTGTTTCCCTCGGACAACCAGCATTGGCCGCGATGCTGCCTTCTCACAAGGAAGGAAGGGTTAGAAAAGGTCGACCCTAAAAACGTCACACCTCACCCTACCTCACGGATTTCCGTCTCCGTCGGTAACGGCTGCCCAATAAGGGCTTTAAAATAACGGAGCTAATACTCAAAAAACCTTTCATAAAAAGGCCGTGCGTGACCGGCCTCAAGCAGGTGTCCCTTGGACACCTGCTTGAGGCTTGGTTTCTCAAGAAACACCCTTCCATGGTATTGGCAACCGGGAAGTGACGACCGCCCTCATACCCGTAACAGCATACGAGATCAAATTGGTTACAATCGAATCCGACCTACAACCCCCAACATCCCCATTATCCTCACGACTACCTCTTCTCACATTCCTTTATCACCCCGCACCTCTGCTGCAGACGATTTGAGTTCCCGAAACGTTATTCCTGGTCTCCCGAAACCCCGTTCTAAACTGCATGTTGGAGCATTTAATGTACGGTCATTGTGTCAAATAGGGCAACAGGCTTCATTAGCTAGGATAGAACCAAATGAGTGGTTATCGAAACCGACAACTTTCATAAATACCCTTAGATTCAATTGATTACATGGGATATAAGTTAAGTTAACAATTACTTTTCACAGCATTATACAACATGAGAGCGTAAAGAAAGCTACATTTAATGGTCATATGGATCCATATATTAGTACACTATTCCTGACAGAAACTCAAGGTTTCGATGGTCTCTGTTTAACAAGGATGAAAAATAGAATATATTAAAAGTTTCCAACGAATTATGAGCACTAAAATTATTAGCATGATTTCTAACAATATTCTTGCCTTTCGTAGCAACAATGAATACTCTTTTTATTGCGTAGGTGTTCTACGAACAGTTGAATTGTTGCTATTCTGAATACCGCTAGGTTCTTATAGGATCGTTAAACCAGTAAAGTTGTAATTCGGTTTTGACAATTCAAAATCAAACGCTACCTTATTTTATTCGAAAGTTATATTATCGAAATACTGGAAATATAAGCGATAAATAATTATGTTGAGAGTACGTTTCATAATAAACAATATTTATCAGAACTTACTGTCAATAAACTAAGAAAGAGATCCGCATGGATAGTGATCTCGTTAATTCGGTTTTCTTCACTTTGTTTTTCATCTATCAGAATATGCAAATGACGTCCAACTTCTTCTTTAGAAGGATTATTTTGAAATGAAGATGGACTCATACGAAATAGTAATGTGACAAGACTTTTGATACTGGAAGATAAATTCTGTATTCCGTTAACAGTATGTATTTTCTCATTTATTATGACACAAGTATATGGTACATGAACTGAATTATGGTTACTCATAGTATTTTCATTTAGAGATGTTGATGAAGATTCGACAGGTTGAACTTTAGGTAACAATCTAAATATTAGATTTTCTTGACATAAATAAGCTGTAAGCCAATCAGATGTATTACTCATCACTGACGCTTCATGCTGGAGTTCTAATGGCATAAATCTCAAGGATGGAGTGGGTAGATTAAACCAACTACGTATTAGTGATAAACGACTAAGACGGGAATTTAAATCAGAAGATATTAGACGAGTAAGAATCCAGATTAAGCATTCTCTAAAAACAAAAAGCGTATTAACACTCACTGGTGAAAAGTTTAATTTCAAATTTTTAAATAATACAGTGATATAATATGTAGGGATTTTAAACGCTTGATTGCACAAAGCAATCAGCATGACCTAATGATAATTCAAAGATAGTTTCAAAAAGTGAAACCAGATAATGACGCTGTATATATTAGATAAAGTATAGAAATGAAGTAAAACAATCACTCCCTAGCAGTTCATTCACTCAACTCTATAAAAATATAGTTACTAATCATCGATACTAATTGATACGACTTTAATCTAGTAATTACGTAATAACATGTGGTGATATATTATGCCCTAGATGAATGCAACTAAAAGTCCTAACATGTTTAACTTATAGCCACATTTAGACACGTTATTTTGCAAATAAACTAGTTCTCTTTTTATCAAGTATATAGGTAAAATATTGATCTCATCTGGCTGATATGATAGCAACAAAATTACATGACATTAGATACGGAAATATAGTAACAAGTTTCTCACAATAGTCAATCAATAATAAGTGACACTAAGTTACACCGTCTACACCTACCTTATAAACTATTGTATCGCGTTATGTCGATCTGCAGCTCCATCAAGAAGATACGTGACTAAAACCTGTAGTTCATCTTAAATGGTTTTGGAAAATCATGGACAAATGGTAGGATGCCTTGGGTCTAGAACAATAGTAAATGCTCTTTATCAATTTCCCTCACTGATATCTAATAGGTATACCGCATAATCATTCGTTGTGGAATCAACATCGACATGCGTCATATCAAACAATGATCATTTTTATGTTTGAAACTAGCACTAATCAACAACAGTTTCATCACAAAGAATGCTGAGTATTATTAGTTTGTCGGTGAACATTTTCGAACTTCAAGATGATTTCCCATTTGTACCTGCCTAGATTCAGTCAGTCAGTTGCAACGTAGAACTTCGTACGTAAGTACATCAGTTCATGTCGCCATACCACATCAGCACAGAGATATAATTGTCAATTCAAATCCAATAGTAGAAGAGGTAGTAAAGGTATTAGAAGTAATCGTAGACGTTAGAATTAGAAGATATTATTCACGAAGTATGATTCAATGAGATAAGTTTAGAAAGTAAAAACTAGAGGTGTTGAAGAACCCAGAAGATTAGGATTTGAGAGAACACAAAGAATAAATGCACTGGCGCCATTGCGAACGATTTTGAGCCATGTCATTCAAGGTCTCTAGCCATCGATTATTATCATCTGGCGGACCGCAACCAGGTAGTCGACAATTACCGACATGGCTAAGTCCACTCGTCAATGACTTCATGGATTTATGCCATGTTTTGGCCTGGCCGCCCCTAACTTTCTTCCAACCTACTCCTACACTACAAAACAAAGCTCGACGAGGCAGTCGGTGGTTAGGCATACGCAACACATGTCCCAACCACCTCAACTGATGAAGTTTTACCACTTCATCGATTGACCTGCCATTCTTACCTAGTACCCGTTTCCTGATAACAGCGTTGCTAACTCGGGTGTCCCACGATATACGAGCAATGCTTCGAAGACACCTATGATCGAAAACCAATAACCGACGAGTATCTTCTACTCTCATTGGCCATGTTTCACAGCCATAAAGTAAGACGGAGCGAACCACTGCGCAGTACACTCGTCCTTTAGTCAGCAAACGGATATCTCGCCTACGCCATCAGTGACGCAGGTTGGCCAAAGTCAATCGAGCCTTCTGTATCCGTGCCGAGATTTCGTCAGTCACCAGGCCATCAGCACTGATGAGACTACCAAGATAAGTGAAGCGGTCTACACGTTCGACCACTTCACTCCCTATCACTAGTTCAGGTGCCAATGAAACCCAATCTTGAAGCAACATTTTGCATTTCGAGGGGGGAAACCGCATCCCGAACATGCTTGCATTGTTGCTTAGGGTAGTCAGAAGACTCTGCATTTTGTCAGCGTTTTCACCAAGTAGGACAACGTCATCGGCATATTCTAAGTCAATAAGCGAGCCACCTGGTAAAAGGTCTACTCCTGAAAATTCAGGTGAAGATAAGGTTATTTCTAGGAGCATGTCTATGATAAAATTAAACAAGAATGGAGAAAGTGGACATCCCTGACGGACACCACTTGAAGTAGAGAATTCCGGTGACAGTTCGCCATAAGCCCTCACTCGACCAGTGGTGTTCGAGTAAAGAGCTTGTATAAGGTTAATGTACTTATTTGGTACACCTTTCAACGACAGACACTGCCACAGAACCTCACGATCCACTGAGTCGAATGCCGCCTTAAGGTCCAGGAAAACAACTATTGTAGGACGCCTAAATGTGTGTCTATGTTCCAGGACCTGTCTGAGTGTGAAGACGTGGTCTATACAGCCACGTCCAGGTCGAAAACCAGCCTGGTTTTCTCGAGTCTGCTCTTCACGAGCTTTCGTTAAGCGTCGAAGTATTACTGAGGCCAATACTTTAGATACTATATTAGTTAGACTTATTCCTCTGTGATTGTCACAAGAAGACTTCTGTCCTTTCTTATAGATTGGAACAATCAGTGATTGAGACCAGTCGGATGGGATTACGTCCAGTTCCCAGATTCTACCTAAGATCTCGGTCAATCTAGCTGCTAAAACTGGACCACCATCCTTAAATATCTCAGAGGTCAGTCTATCAGGACCTGCCTAGATTACAAACTCAATGAAATTATTACTTTTTTATTTCTAAATACATACCCTTAGTTATTCAGATTCACACAGATAAATTGTGATAAGTCATTTTTGACTTAGTTCGAACTATACTTGTGTGTAGAGCCGTCCAGTGATACTTTTTGACCGTTTGAGTGTGCAGACATTTACGTTTCTTTGGGTTATCAAATATGATCTAGGTCAATCTTACAAATATACAGCAGAGGAAGGTGAATAAAAAGTAGGATGTAGCAAGTCTACATGGAAGTAATTCATAATACATACAACGAAATAAATAAAAATTATCAACTAACTTGAAGGAAGTGAAGCTTTCCGGATCAGCAATGCCATCTTCATCTTCCATTGTTTGTGTAAACAATAGAAATAATGGTCTAGACAATTTACATAACTCTTCTATAACAATTCGAGATGGCTCAGGACAATCCAATAGCTAAAGCGTTTAATGAGGTGAAGAAAACTAGAAATAAAGTTACTGAATAGTATAATTCACATGATATATATATATATATATATATATATATATATATATATATATATATATATATATATACAAAACTAGTAAATATACCTCTTCTATATGGTCAAAAAACCTTATTCACTAGGTACAAGTGTATATACCCCGAGGCTTTCAGGCATAGTTTTATACGACGGATCATAGTATCACCAACTTCCGCAAATCGAAACATAAAGAGTAATTTACAATGTTGTAGCTCAACAATCAGTATACTGATGACTGTTAAACCAATTTCATGCAAAGACAGCTGGTAAATATTACATAACTTACACTAAACAGTAATTATTTGAAAAATATACACTGCACGTTGATGCTTTTAATTTTTGATCCTTAACAGTAGAAATATCAAAAGAAGATATGGCACCAATTCATAAAGTATATTAATACTGGAATTTCAAAATGTACAAAGTTGTTCTCTAACTGACTGCTATGCCATAGTAATGAGCTATCATGAACATAATTTCAACTATAACATTAACAATACCAACGGCAGGAATATTTTCTACCCTCTAAAATGTAAGCTTCAAACTGAATAATATCTACATATGCAAAAATCATTATCATTATTGATTATTAAGTACTGTTTCCCGAACACAAGACAAACTCGCATACAACAGTGCAATAACCTATGTTGAAACAATTTACAATAATCAGTTGAACCAAGAAATATTCGGAAGCATTTTTACCAAATTCAAGCAGATTATCTAGTGTAATTCAAGCATTTAACTCGTCATTAGTGTTAACATTGAGGTATTTGACAGCTAAATCTTATTCTGTAATAGTTTAATTCATGATAAAGCATGAAATATTGTGAAAAATTATTTCGATCAATCGATTATTGTAATTGTCAAAATGAAGTTGTGAAGATGGTTGAAGTTCACTGAAATCACGAGACGGTCTAAGTTAGAGAAGTACTGGGAACCTTGAAGCACTGGATTATCATTTTGTCTCTTGATTTAATATTGATAAGATAAATAAAGTTAGTCATATATGTATAAATAACAAACGAACAATATTATTTACTCACTTACATCTTTTATAATTTCTAATAGACGAGTTAGATCATGATGTGAAGCAAGTTGACGTTTTGTGGTAAAATCTAATGCCAACGCTGATAGACGTGTGAGCATCGAGTTCATTATTTAAAATGACAGTATCCAATCCATTTTTTAAAGAGAAAAAAAGTATCATTACTTTACATTAACACGATGCTCTATACAGGACAGTTTAGTTTACTAAAATACCCACAACATGGGAATAAAATACTATACATAATACGAATTGATAAGATAAAAGGAAACGAAAACAGTTTATTTAGTTACTGAAAAAACCATGAATGAGTTGTAAGTATGAACATGCATATGTTAGTGCCAAGTCGACAATATTAATCTGAGCATATAATTTTACTTAAAATGAATTAACTTAAAGCATTTGACATCATACACTAAAAAAGATGAAGGTTAACCTATTAAAGTAGATCATATTAATTTATTTGGGCGTTATTTGTCATACTTTTTTTAGTGTGAGAGTATGTGATATTACTATTCTTTCATCTGAATGAAAGTAGATAGAGTGGACTTCAGAATTTCAATTCAATGGTTTAAAAAAATGATCCCTATAATCACCAATCTCACAGGTCAAACTGATAGGTAATTACTTATTCAGAAATAATTACGTAAATAATGTCATTCGACGCCTTTAAATGAATGACCTATGATTAATAAATTGTCTAGCGTGAATAGTATGCAATGGTTAAGAGATGGTAACGTCAACTTTTGATTAATACTTTGATGACTAAAAGAACTAAAATATTTCACTTTAACTAGGCCTTCAGCCTAAATTCGGATGAAGATCAATAGATAGCACAGACTAATGATAGACTAAAACAAAATAATTTCCTAGTGTCAAGCTTCTGGTAGTAAATAACCAAATGCCACTGAAAACCATTTAAAATAAATTCACTTTAAACTAGATATTCAAGTGAGCGTCTAAAAATCAAACAGAATCACTTGTAGGTTAATTACAAAGAGGAATTTCCCATACTATTTAACGTCTTGAACAAGTAATTATAAAGTAATTTCAATGCGTTATATAAAGCATGGAAAAAAGGAAGAATATAAGGCAATAAATTTGTTCACATAAAGATATTCCATCGTATAATCATTCCGAAGAATATATAAGTGCAGTGACATTAAGACTACTTGAATATGCAGTCAGTAATGTTTTTTCAATGATTAGAGTGAGACTATGAGGACAGAAACCATACTGGGTACGGTAATCGTTAAATAATACAAAACTCGAGCCCTAGGTTCTACTGGTAGCCACTATACATCTCTTTAAATAATGCTTGTGATCTAAAGGCAATATCGATTGTCTCAATATTCCATTCAGACCCCTGCCGTAGCTGCTACCTTGACGATGTGGTCGGGCTTGCCTATCGTGATGATCCAAACAAGCTTTATTGGCTGGAACATATGTTCCTGTAGGTCCCACCATGTCAGGCAGGTCGATTGGAGAACGACGAGACTAAAAGCACCAACTCAAGGTCTGAAAGTGAAGTCGTACTGCCGACTGTAGAGAGGTCTGATAGCCATAGTATGTTTCCCTCGGATAACCAGCATCTGAAGCGATGCTTTCTTCTCACAAGAGGGGAAAGGGTAAGAAAAGGTGGACTCTAAAAATGTCACACCTCATACTACCTCACGGATTTCCGTCTCCAACGGTAACGGCACTTAAAGAGTGCAACTAACAGTTTAAAAGCTTCCCATAAAAGGACCGTGCGTGACCTGCCACAAACAGTTGTCCTCTGGGCCCTTCGGTCTCTAGGACCAATACTAATCCAACTACCTTTTGAGGTTCCTTAGGAAACACCCATGCACGGTGTGAGCAGCTGTGAAGTGACATCTGCTCTAATAACCATAACAGCACATGAGACCAAATCAGTCATAAACAAATCCTTCCTACACCTCTTAATAACTCTCCTATCTCCATCAGTGAGGGGTATACGGTATTATTCTCAACAAAAGACGTATCTTCATTTTTATCCATGAAAAACATAAGAGGATAAGTCAACGATTTTTAATTCATTTTATGATTTTGTGATAATTCACTATTTATGAAACTGCATTACAGGAACATATCTCATTAATCAAGTTAGGGATTACCCGATATAGCTTCTCCATAAAAGATCAAAACCATGTTAATATTACGGTCTCTATTTACCATTCAACATTATCCTACAATCCGTTAATTATTTATGTGATGATTAAACATAAGTAAATTTGATCAGGCAATCGTAGTAAAAGTCTCCAGACCTGGAACAAGAACTGAGAAGATAGATTATCCTAAAAATCTATCAGCTTTTGCTTTATAAATCATAGATTTCTTCCGTACAATCAAACAAACTTGAATTCCGAAACTGAACAGAAAAACGGAAAACTTACAATCAGTGTTTATGGAATCCTTTTCTGAGACAGCAAAAGATATTTGACAAAATTCTCTCAATAATCCAATCAATGGCCAAAGTAATAATCTTTTACCAATGTTAGCATCATTATCATCAATTTTAGAAGATTTCTGACATAAATCATGTACTGCTCTTATGGAAACATTATAAAAGAAACGAGCAATAGCTGATGAATTCGTCTCATTATTTGACAAAATATTATCCTTTGTATTAATTATTTCCAACAGCTTCATGCAACAAACACCAATCACACACAGAAACCAATCGTGGTTAGAAAGAAAACAAAAGAGAAAATCAATTATTCTACTCACAATTCCATGTGACTTTATGAGTTTATATTGACTAATGTAACTAATAAACTAAGAACACCTATGAACCCAGCTTTGTGCCAGTAATGATACAACTGCATGTGGTTTGAATCTATAACTAACGACTGTGTTTAAAAGAAAATTCAACGAAAATTATAGTATACAATATTTACTACTGTATTTCAACAAAGCACAATTGGATATTGTAAACAAATAAAGGATATCATTTGAGTAGGTCAACTCCTTGTCACTGAATCAAGACCTGGTTGGTACGCTTTATGTCACACTGATCTCCGTACCACAAATAGGGTTCATTGCATATAGTACAACATAGTATAAATCATCGTATTAACTTGATCATGATTAAAGATAGCATTTAAGAAACTGAAACGATTTGGGTGTAGGTGTATCTGAAATTACAACTACATAAGTAACGGTTAAAACACTAAAAAAGTTACTAGGAGGGAAAGTACCAATTAACTTTTATTCTTCTATTAAATATCAACAACATTTATATGTATACAGGATACCTGAGCAGAAATCAATGAAAAATACTTTTCACGACCCGATTCAATAGCAAAATCATCCGAGGAATTTTTAGCGAATTCGGGAACTGTCGTTAAAATATTCGCCAATGTTGAAATCATTTTTGGTTGAATACGTGGATCAATTGAAGTGATTGGACCATCAGAAGGTAATATCCCAGGACAAAGAGACAGAGAAGCTAGTAGGAAGCTTTTAACACCTAAATTTTGGGCATTTTCAGATTTTTCAACATTCAGATTATTTATAACTGGATGGACCAACAAACGGGATAGTAAACGACCGCAGGATTTGCGCAACCAGACTGGTGCTTTTGGTAACTGAACAGCTCCCTTAATTTTGAAAGGAAAGAAATAGACTGATAAATGGTACTTTTGATACAATAGATTAACTTTCAATCAAGTTTTTAAGCAACCATAAATTATTTGCTGAAAACATCATAAGAAATAATATCCAAAAGTGAATGTACCACAGGACAACATTAAACAAAAGATTACTTGGAAGCTTTCATCAATTATCATTCACAAAAAATATTAAAGCAACAAAAAATTGTTTGGAAGTTCGGAAAATGAATAGTGGATAGGCGAGAGAGGCTAGTTATTCGTTTATTTACCAACCCAAAACACATAAACATTGGTACAAACGGATGCTAAAACAAATGGTTCCATATGTTCTATCAAGTCTGTCAGTTAGTTGAAACGAAGAGCATGGTACACACTTACTTCAGTTCAAAATGTCATGTCCCGATAGACAGAGACATGAAATTGTCAGACCACATCCCAAAGTAGTGGACGTAATAACAGTATTAGCAGAAATGGAAAAGATTAGATATCAAACGTATGAAACAAGAAAATAAAAAACAGGGAAAAAAGAAGGGAAATTATGATGAATTCAAGAACTTACAAGATGGGAGAGGACAGAGAATGGAAACACATGCACCACTGTGAACGATTTTGAGCTATATCATTTAAAGTCTCTAACCATCGGTTACGACTATCGCGTAGACCCAAACTAAGTAACCTCCAGCTACTAACACGGTTCAATTCAGTTGTTAATGTCTTCATGAACTGGTGCCATGTTTTGCTTGACCGCCCTTATCTTTCATCCAGACTACCCCAACACCAGACAAAATCACTCGTTGACGCAGTCAGTGGTTGGGCATACGTAACACATATTAGTCACTTCGGCTGACAAAGATTCGCTACTATACACCATAAACTCTCTACCTCCGCTTCTCCCACCTCAATATGGCACCCGAAAATAAAGCATAACATGGAAGCCACTGGAATGATATTCATAACGCATGTCGAAACTAGAGAAGCCGATATTTCAAGCAGGTGATACTGGCTGAATTATTGTCACTATACCATAATATTCAACCTATTGCAACTTCAGCTTGATAATTGTCCCACATTAATACTAAGAAAGGTAGAACGATGTGTTGCGTTGCGAGAATCGTTTTTAACCCAGCGATTATTTGTTTTTCAACAAACAAGTCAGTCATACAATCGTGGTTGAATATGTTGTAAATAAATTACAGCCTTAGTACTACGTCAGTTGGCAAACAGTTATAACATTCGGAAGATAGGTCCTTGATACTAAGTTATGAGTTACATCATCTTAATTATTTCTAGATTTTATCAAATTGATCTAAATGCAGTAACAACTGACTGAAGCTAAGACTAAATAATAGAAATGAAACAAAAATTAGATGACACAGAACTGCTGACTGGAAAGTGGTTGTGCTCAGTCAGAATCTGTTAGTGGATTAAGCTACCTCGTCCATTACCGATAAAATTATTGGACTTGAAGGACAGAAGCGTTGGTAGTCGTTGCTTAAAAATGAAATGACTAAGAATCAACACAGTTTGATTGTCTTAGGCAAATAATCAAGGCAAAATAATAATATAAACAGAATTTTATATTTTACTTCAATTTTACAGGTTCTTTTTTCTGAACCTAGTGTCACTACCTCATAATTGTTTCTTGTTCTTTAGAACATAGCTAATATTTTATGCAGTAAATTTCTTTACGTCTATATTCCTCGAAATTAATATTTTTCTAGATAGGTATCATGCATAAAACAATAAATTCAAAGTTCACCAGAATAGATTAAAATAATTGTTGTAAATAATGCTGATTGGCTATTTCGTATCCAATCAGAGCTAGTCGGTACTTGGGGAACATTCTAGAATCTTCTCAAGTAAAAGACTATAAATATACTAACGTTTTTTCCTATTGAACTTCGTACCTTGTTATTGGAATATAATCTATTTCCTGTTCAACCGTGTTCCGATTTGGGAGAACGTCTCGATTGAATTGGTGTCCGAGAATACTAAGCATTAGGAATAACTGGGTTGCAATAAAAAGAGAATTATAACAGTGACGACGAGGAAGAGGGAAAAAAAATTCAAGATGTCCATATCAGATGACCAGCTCAACCGAATACTACAACAACCACTTCGACTGATGAAGTTTCAATACTCCATCTGTTGATTTGCCATTCCTGACAAATATTCGTTTCCTAACGACAGCATTGATTACTCAGTTGGAGCAAGACACACGAACTATGCTTCGAAGACAGCTACGACAGAATACTAATAACCTACGAATATCCACAACTCTAACTGGCCATGTTTCGCATCCATTTAGTACGACGGAGCGAAGTGCTGTGCAGTAGATTCATCCACTGGTTAGCAAACGGATATTTACATTCACGTCCAGGTTGAAAACCAGCCTGGTTTACTCTAATCGGCTGTTCATGAGCTCTAGTTAGGCGTCTAAGGATAATTGAGGCTAACAATTTAGAAACTATATCAGTTAGACTAATTCCTCTGTGATTATCACAAGACGAAATCTGTCCATTTTTGTAGACTGAGACAATCAGGGATTGAGACCAGTTAGATGGAATTACGTCCAGTTCCTAGATTCTTCTTAAGATCTTAGTCAATCTCGCTGTTAAAACTGGACCACCATCCTTAAAAATATCAGGGGTCGATCTATCAGGACCTACTGGTCTCCCTCGCTTCAGACTTCCTATCGCTTTCTCAATTTCATAAAGAGTCGGAAGACTTACAGCGATTTACGATTCAGGAAGACTGGAGATGGTGGGCAACCCAAGTGTGGCTGAAAGCCAGTTGAATTGATCCCTAAAGTATTCTGCCCATCGATCCAATCTCCTAGGTTGAAAATGAATAAAAAGACCATCCATTTCCGAGATAGTTTAGCCAACAAATGGATTTCTAATACCGGTTTCCTTGATAAGTCGGAACAACTGTCAACTGTTGCCTATTGCCGCTGCCTTTTCCATCGCTCTCGCTTTCGCTATCCACCACTGTTCACGATCATTGCGTGGGCTTTTTATCAACCTCCGCTTAGGCTGACTTCCCTCTTCGTCATGTTCAGAGCCTGGTGAGATGAGTTTACGAGCGTCTATCAGTTCGGTGGATGCTACTGAGATCCACGGCTTCACCCTAGTCTTATGGTTTACCTTACTGCTCTTTCCGCAGCCTTTTTGATGTCATTCCAAGCTGTCTCCAAATGGAAATCACTTACATGGCTGCCCAACTGTTTTTCTAGTTGCTCACAACATATATTCTTAGATGAGCTATTATTAGGTAGAACCCTAACAGGTTTCCTTGCGGTGTATTACCTACGTCTCACATTAGATACGTCTTTTGTTGAGAATAATACCGTATACCCCTCACTGATGAAGATAAGAGTGTTATTAAGAGGTGTAGGAAGGATTTGTTTATGACTGATTTGGTCTCATGTGCTGTTATGGTTATTAGAGCAGATGTCACTTCACAGCTGCTCACACCGTGCATGGGTGTTTCCTAAGGAACCTCAAAAGGTAGTTGGATTAGTATTGGTCCTAGAGACCGAAGGGCCCAGAGGACAACTGTTTGTGGCAGGTCACGCACGGTCCTTTTATGGGAAGCTTTTAAACTGTTAGTTGCACTCTTTAAGTGCCGTTACCGTTGGAGACGGAAATCCGTGAGGTAGTATGAGGTGTGACATTTTTAGAGTCCACCTTTTCTTACCCTTTCCCCTCTTGTGAGAAGAAAGCATCGCTTCAGATGCTGGTTATCCGAGGGAAACATACTATGGCTATCAGACCTCTCTACAGTCGGCAGTACGACTTCACTTTCAGACCTTGAGTTGGTGCTTTTAGTCTCGTCGTTCTCCAATCGACCTGCCTGACATGGTGGGACCTACAGAAACATATGTTACAGCCAATATAGCACAGTTGAGTCGTCACGATAGGCAAACCCGATCACCCTGTCAACGTAAAAATACCCCTGATTATCATATTTTGTATTTGTACACCTTTGAAAGTGAATTCGCTGAAGAGAGCTGTTTGCTGAACTAATCTTTCTCATTTTGTCGCAATGGGTTTGTTCTATTTGGATATAAGAAATTTAGTGAATAAACTAACCTTAACACGAGTACATGTACCACCTTGAAGAATCATCAGTTCTTTCATTGCTATATGACGTGGTAGCTCAAGTAGCAGTTTCCAAAGGATTCTTCGAGATTCACGGATGTATATCATGAGCGAAGAAACCCTCTCAGAAGTGAAATTGTTACTGCGCAAATATGAATCCATCCCAAAAGCAGACTGAAACAAGCTTGCAATTAAATCACCCAAAAATGAAGTGGTGCCGACTAATCGTTGTAACTGGAAAGATTTAGACTCTCTCAAGCAAATTAGACACTTGATAATCTGTATAGTACACAATTAGGGTAAAATGTAAAGAATTATAGCTTTTGTTGTAGAAAACATTTGGAAAAAGAGTGTACTAATTTTCAAAGTGAATAAAATTTAGATCACCACACTAGAAAATTCATCGCATTACAATAATACATACCTGTAAAAGTTGGGCTAATGCGACTTAGTAACGAAGTGTGGATACGTGTATGTAATGTTTAACAACACTCCGAGGTTAGAAAAATCATGGAACTACGTAAATTAAAGCGGAGTGTTATTTGCACATATAACACATCTTTTAAGTTAAGTACTTACTCATACCTACCGAGTTGCCATTTAAATCACGAATTTCCCAAAAAAATCTTTGTCGAAAACCTGCACGTTAGGACAGTGTTTATCACTTGTAGACTGGCCCGAAACGAAACTCTAGTCAGATCAAGGAATAAACTGGAAATGATCTTAAGCTTAATTATACTGCTCTAATTTGTTTACAACAATCTTGAACTAAAAACTACAAGTTTAATTAGATCACCTGCTATCTTTAATGCTGTCTGATGTCTTTTTACTGCTCTTCATTTTACCTGTTTCTGAAAGTGATTGCAGCTTATGATACTCTGAATCAAATCATTTACTTTAATGAATAAAATAAGCCACAACAGTTTCAAACATGGTCTATGAAAATAAAAGTCATGTCAGCTGAAGCTTTCTGACTACAACTGTCTTCGATGCACTGCCCAGCGGTTTGAGACTTTATTATATATGGCTAAATAGAAGTCAGTGGCGGTCGTGGTGTACGTTATTCTATTTTTATCACATAAGCAAGAAAAATATATTTAACTGAAAGGATTCTTTTTGACTGCATTTTTCGTGACTGAATTATTTTTCCCATAATTATTACAATTATTTCATACTCACACACTAAGCTCTGTCCATTTTTGTTAGTGACCTTACTGTTCTTTCTTTATCTCTTTACGGTTTCATTTTTATTGTGGCGCATATACATATGAAGTGCATTACACTCGTCCTTTGGTTAGCAAACGGATATCTCGCCTACGCCATAAGCGAGTCAGCCAGTTACAACATAGAAATTCGTACGTACGTACATCAGCCCATGTTGTTGATTTAAACGTCAAATATGTACATATCTCTTTTTAAAGAGTAGTTCTAAATAACATAGTAGTGGTCACTTAGAAAACAGGACGGCAAAATAAAACAAGAATGCGCTGACTCTGTACACTAATTAGGACAACAGTTACTGGTCCTTGGGGCGAAACAGAAACAAAATCTCATGGCCAAGTAAGATTTGAAAACATATATGAATGAAGCAACAAACGAAGAAAGTCTGCATATTTTAAATTTTAGCCAAATAAAGGATTTCTTATTTTACAGTTAAAATAATGCATACTTTGCATAGTATTTGAGATCAAGATATGTCTGACGTGAATCAACAACTAATAAAAAAATATTATTAAACCATTCATAATTACCTTCATCAGTTTTTCAATTCTTTCTCCATCCCTTTCCTTCCGAGGACAGATGAAATTCTCAATATTATCTATCCGCATACTTAAGGGCAAAGAAACTCCGGGTTCTAAGAGCGGATAAATGCCAAACGCGACAACAAACTGAAGACAAGTGGACAACTGTTTTTCTTGAAACACACTGAAAACAGGAATGTCAGCGCTATTATTGGTTGTATTGCTTTCAAATAATTCATTGCAAGAGTACAGAAAATTGAGACAGCACAAATAAAACGCCTCATGAACTTCTGCGCCATTTAGATCAGAGAACAAACTTTCGTCATCAGACTTCTGTACATATGCTTCAATTCCGCCACGAAGTCGAATACAGGGATCCAGATCAGAAAAATTAGGTGATGGGAGTAGAGACGTAAGCTGACTAAATAACAATTTCAATTTATCCATAAAGAGCTAATTCTATTAAAGTTAAAAGAGAGCACACACTAGATACTTTGAGTTTTAAAGACTAACGTAAAATATACAATATCATGTAGATTTTTACAAAAATATTAATATACATCCGGCTGCCGTCAAACATACTTTGAGTTTATACATTGCCATAGGGATGTTCGTAAACAAAATTCGTGCTGCATTAATATGGTAAGTTGTGATGACATAAAACACTTTTCTTTCATATGACTACGAAGTGATTGAGAAACTGAAGGCATCGTTCGCTGGATTACTCGACTACAACGCTAATAGCACATTCCCAGACGACACATTGCCATGTCAATCACAGAAATCTGCGAGGTGAATTGATAAGTTTATTGAGTAAGTTTATTTTTAGGACTGTTAAACAAAAATGACTATTTGGACACCTGCAAGGAACTAAGAGTGGGTGAAATGGAGATTGGATATGTTCCTTTTTAATTTTCGGTCACCAACATTTTAAGTAGTAACTTCTCGTCCATACATAAACATTAGGCACATGTTTATAAATCAGTTCTGCCACCACCACAGTTTTCATCAACTTTTGAGGTCGTGGTTAACGAGTACATTGTATTTTTAATAAAGTTTATACCGATAAGTGGCACTACAGCAACGTGTGAAGGACAGAATTTTTGCACTGCACCTTTTTCTATGGCATTCTCACTGAAAAAATATGAGGATTTAGGTACATTCGAAGCTACATTGCGGAAACCAAAAATCTGATCAGTTCATGAGTTGTGACAGCTTTTTATAAGCTTAAAGGTGGCGAAATTGCAGAAAATTACAGGTGACAATCTTCGAAAGTCGATCAAGGCTATTTAAGCCTATGTGCTGACGTCTGGACTGCCTAATGTTTATACCCCACATGGAACTAAAAGCACAATTCGTAAAAACAATACGAATCCTACAGAATGATTTACAGTAAGTCATGACTACAGCACATATATTTCGTTAGATACTCTGTTCATGGCTTCGAATGAAAAGAAAGCAACACAAGCAACGGATACTGTGAGTCAGGTACGACGCTAGATATGAAGTGCACAAGCTCGAATGACGATCCAAAAAACATGCACGACTATCATAACTTAACTATATTTTTACATATCATCGGGTCTTAAAGCCTTTTAATATACTTGTCTGAAGATTAAAAATCGTATATTTTTCAGCTGGATTCACAAATAATTCCCGATATGACGGTAAGCAGGTAATTCAACAAACGTTTTCCTATTACTTATCTAATGCATACAACCATCCAAAATGTAAGGAGCAAGAAAACATTGTTGCTGAGAAATATATTTATTCCATTTTAGTATACAATTTCACTTACAGCACATCAGTCCTAATCAGTGAGATCCTTAGATATAGCTCTTGAGATTGTGTTGACAAGATAGGACTGTTTCGATAACGTGAATCAACCGTAGTTAAGTGTTCAATTTATATTGTCTTTTAAGGGCCACTTTTAAATATATCTATTTTTCAAGTCGATAAGTAATTTGTTTCGAAGGTAAAATTACAGTTCTTTAATATCAAACCGACTAACCGGACTGTGACGCAAACATTCAACTGTTGCGCTATGTCAGAGTACTGTTCCAATGATCCAAATGATGGTGGAAGGAACTAAAACGTTTACTTGAGGGGCTTCCGTATATAGGAGCAATGCGTCGTTGATGCTTTCAGGTATATTCAAAGAGTAATGGATAAATTTTAGTTAATTATAATGAAATACTCCCCCATGTCGTCTAGAAATCACAAGTTTTTCGTACAGAACTTCATTCGTCCAACTTTGAAGATGCGTCAGACCATCCTGATGTGTCAGTTTACAGTCTTGGTCGCAAAGTTCTCTCCGAAGTAAAATGTTTTCAGAGGAAAGTAATAGCCTAGACGGTATTGGAGAAGTTTATTTACATACTAATGACTCTAAGACTTTCAGTGGTATTTAAAGGAGGGTCACTGACCTGTAGATTGAATGTTTATAGAATCGATCCCCTTAGAAAATTATTAAGGTATGGACCAGCTTCCAATTATCTGAAGCCGTATCTTCAGTTGGCGAACTTCACACCAACCATTATTGCGAAGATTGAATCCGCTTCTTACAGTATAGCAGAGTGACCCGTGTTCAGGCCAGTAGAAGTCCAATAGTTTCAATTATAGGGTTTTTTTATAAACAGCACTAAGGTCCACTTTTGAACCTCTTCTTTGGTCATAGGGGAAGCTTCAGGTCGTGTGAGACGGTTGAAATTTTTGAAGATACTGTTCTCCCAGAAGCTCTACGCAACACCTATAATGTTGATTAAGCCATTAAGATAACATCGGGAAACTCTGGTTTCGGATTCGGGAATAGAGGTGGAATAACTGAATAAGCTCTATGGACTAGAGATAAGTCTTTTCAATTGGCTTTGTCTGAAATTCAAGAATATCTTCTCTTGTCGCTTTTGTACATTGATAACATTTTAGCGTGAACCGTCTACATATGCTATTGTTACTATTTCATCTATACTGCGCCCAGTAGTAATTTTTAGGTTTTAACATTCCAATGGTGTGACTACTTCTGAATGAGCGTTGATTGTTACTTCTAGGGACAATCTGTGGGGCAAACTGGTTCGTAGCACGTATGATTTGTCCGGTAAGAAATCTAAGCAAGCGGCTTGTAGGGCTGACACACCCTGCCATTTCAGGTTTCAGTGCTTGTGGTTAGTGAGATGTTTTAACTAAGTTTCGCTGATAAAACTGAAGTATAGGATTATTTTTTCTCCGTGGAGGCAGAGTTAAGACGTACGTTTTCGATCAATCCTAATGCTTCTAAGAGGTCGAGACGCCAAGCTTCGGTGAATTTTTCAGCTCCATCTTATGCGCGGTCAGAAAAATTGACTTTATGAAGGTTGAAGTCTCCTGAAACGAGGATACGCGTGTATCCGAGACGCAGAGAACGGTAAAACCCCTCTGACATGCGCTACCGTACTCAATTTCAGGGAGAGATTTTCTATAGTTGACCCCAACTAGACACGCCACCCGTCCTTTTTTGCTAGGCAAGCTTGCAGCCTTTACATCAAGGGCTCATAAGAGCCTTCATCCAGTGTGTCACAATGAGCTTCGTGTGAATGAACAGGCAACCTAACTATGTAGGTTTTCCCAATTAGGTGGTCCCTGTCTTATCCATATATTTTTCTTCAGCTTGAAAGTTCACAAAAGAAATGACTAGATTCAATATGCTTTCGCGCTTTATTCTTGCATCATATGGCTGGTCCGGCTTGCATGAAGTGCCTCAGGAATGGCAGCCACCATTCTGACAGAAGGTAAAGTTATCTTCACTAATCAGGGTCAAGAATCCCCACCCTTCTTGGCTGTGAAATTCGCTAGTCAACTTTGATCCCTTTTTCAGGATAATCTAACATGGGAAAATCCCACTGCTACACAAGATTGCGCTGATGTATTTTTACAATTTTATTCAAATACACTGCTTGGGTGCTGAACGACTGCTGAGTATCATTTGTCGCAAGATATAGACATCATATTGGCTGATCATCTATAAGATGGTAAACTTCACACCAAAGTTCCACTTAGATGTGTTTTCACTAGTAATTATTCTTAACGCCGTCAATCTTGGGTGATATTTTCCCTATAAGAGCTACAGCTCTCATGGTTAGCTTGTTCCGAAGAGATGAAGATGTAGAAGTACCAGAGATGAATCCAAAAAATTTTCTACTTACTTAGCGATAATTCTGCACCTGACACACCTCCATTTGTCGTCTCTGCAAAAAAATTAGCCGAAACACTCTCAAAACATCCACAAGAACGGAAAAGAATGCTTATCAGCTGACTATCTCATCGAATTGCTATGAAACGAACTACTTAAAAATATGATTGAAGCTCCATCTGTCAACATATTTAGAAGAAAACTGAAGAGAAAAAGCCACCACAAACATCTTGAACTAACCTCTTTGAAATTTATGTTCAGCTGATACTATACTGTGACATGGTGTAAATATGCTATCAGAAACTGACTCTTATACTTAATTTAACTGCTATAACTTTTACAGTTAATGTGAAAGCATTTCCGACAATTTGATCTAGCCTGTAAACTGGTGTGACTCTTGTGACGTAGTTAGTTGAGGAAAAATATATTATTATTATTATTTTTGCTGGTAATTAAATCTAAACTAATAGATATCGTCAAACTTAACTGAAAACGGGAGAACATTTTGTAAAAATATATATTCCCAACTATTAAGTCCAGTACTTGTTACTTTTATATTTTGTACGCTTAATTCTCAAACACCAATCAACTTTCTTACCACTCACGTTACTCTGCATGCTCCGCCAGTATACAAGGTAACTTCTAGCCGGGCGTGAATCTCTTACTGTAGGCAGATTTACAGATATTAAATGCCCCGTTGATGGGGGAGTATCCAAATGAACTGTCACTAAGACTACCAACTGGTATTCATACTATGGTTTCAGCAAGAGCCTTTAGTCTCTATTGACTTGAACAGCCACTCATAGCGACTCCTTACTTGGCTTCAATATCGCTAAAAATTGATTTTTATCACTTTTCTAGTTTTGACACGCGAAAATATTTTGGAAGCTACCTAACTTATATAGAATGATGCACACGTGTAATAATATTTCCGATTTGCCTTGTGGGCGACGAAACCGTTCAACTAAACCAACGGATGCTGGGTGGTAGGCGGTGGTGCGTATGCATTTCGTACCAGGCAGCTGGGTTAGCGAGATGAATAATTCGGACTCAAACTGTTGTTCTCGGTCATTGGTGACAGTGAAAGGACAGCCGTACAGCGATATCCATCGTTCTACGAAGTGGTGAGCAACTGTTTCAGCCGTAATAGGAGTGATGGGGATAGCTTCGGGCTATCTTGTGAAACGATCGATGCACATGGGTGTCATCATACCTATGCGATGGTGGCAATGGTCCTACAACATGAACGTGATCGAAGCAAGCTTCAGGCTTAGCGAATGTTCCGGTGGGGGAGG